AGCCTGACTGGTTCACAAGACTGAGGCAGGCCCTGGAACCCGATAACAATTGACTCCCCTGTGCTAGACTCTGCTATGGTAATGTAGCCATTTGTTTAACTACCATTTTCCAGGCATCCCAGCCCACGCATATACCCTTGGGAGTGAGCTGGAAAACTCCTCCAGACCCCTAGATACTAGAACAAGGACTGTGGACAGATCTCACCCAGCCATCTCTGCTGGAGAGCCATGGGCATGCGCATAGCATACCTCCTGCCTGAGACAAGCTAGGGAGCAGCACCCACCAGAAAGATCTTCTGCATATTGGGGGGAGAACACATTTTCCTTCCCTCAGTCCTACATATTTTGTGCAAGTAGCATAAACAGGAGCAGAGTGAGGCAGGGAAGAGGGCAAGTGACAAACAGAACACACAAAAGCCACCAGAAAAGACAACAAAACACACCCTTATTAACCTTAATTGCATTCCTTCCAGTCCTACAATTCTATGCCCAGATTAGGACTCCCAAAATACACACAAGGTTACGTAGTTCCTTCTCCATCCTGACTGCTGTGATATGTTGATCAACCTCTCCAGTCCAAAACACAGCTACCAAGTTTTGCAACCTCTACCTATTCAGCTGCATGAACGCCATAGTGTGTTGGCCCATGTAGACTGTAGGAATAGGGTCACACCTCTTTCAATAGGGACCATGCTCTCAGTTTAGTTCATTTTTTCCTCAGTGTTTCAGAAGCCTCCAGCCCCTGCATACTGTGAATAGACAGGGGTATTTGGATCTTACATGCCATGTGGGTTCTTCCTATTATGACTGTTGTGTAACAAACACGAGACAGCTCTTTTCATCCTCTCTGCCCCTTTCTCTTTGCCACATTCACTTGTTCCATCTTGCCTCAAATTAGACTAAGTTTCAAAGGGTAAGAACTGTGACTACTCTGCTCTTGCAGCAGGTGTCATACAGGTAACACTATGAAATCCCACTCCTGATCAGGGCTTTTTACACGCCACTGCCATACACACTTTAACGCAGCTGCTTTGTTTGTTAGAGGCTTAGAACAGCCTATAGCTGTCAACCCCAGATGTTAAGGAAGGCCAAACCATTTCTCCACTGCATTTCCCATACTGGCCACTTTGCAATGCCCTTCAGAGTGGGATTCCTTGGATCTTGGTCTACTGATTTACTGTCCATTTAAGACAGTTTATAAACAAATTTTCCATACAAAAATCCCCGTGGCCCCCAAAATAATTCCCATTAGATCTAGAGAAGCAGCAGTCAAACAGACTCATTTTGCATTTAGTCAGCGAGGACGAACACGTGCAACTCCTAGTGGCACTATAAAGCAAGTTGGCACCTGTACACTTCAGTAGGTTGCCAGACACAGAATTACAAACTTCATTTAGGAAGATTTCAGGACATATTTTACTAGGGTACATCACTTAAGTCTCTCAATTCCCCCACGTTCCTGATGTCCCTTCACACCACCTCCCCACAAACAGGGCCACATTTTTCTTGGCAGCTCCTGCCAACCAAGGACCTATTGGGTCAGTTTCTTCCTCATCCACTCTATCTTCATAGACATCAGTTTGCAAGGCTGATTGGCACATTATACAGAAGCCCCACTCAGGAGCCTGCCTGCACTATACTAGGGCCACTATTTCTTCCAGGCAGTCCCTGATCAGAGGAACTGTGACCATTTTTTTTAAAAAGGACAAAAATAATTCTGGTTTCCCTCTGCTGTTACTTTAGCTTTATCAGCGCAACGTGGGATGTAGTTTGCACAGGAAACTCAATGCTAGCGTGTCACGTTAACTGACATGAGAGAAGCCAAAGCAAAGTCTCAGTGCAAAGACCACAGCATTTTTAATCAAACCAAGATTGCATAATAAGAGAAAGCAAACCCAATTCCCTTACAGAAGTAACTCATTATCTACAGCTGTTACTCAAGAACAGTGACACAGCAGTTACAAGTTTATACTTTTCTGGGCCTGGTCATTTTTCATATTTCATCATTAAAGCTAACCAAACAGCATTCCCTGAGGTACTAATGAAGGAAGAGGAGAAGATAAGTCTATACAAAACACCACAAACCACATACCCAGGGAACATGCTAAATCCTAGCCAATGGATTAGCTTGTTTTCTCTTTATTCATTTGCACTGGTAACAGCAATTGACATAATGAAGTTTAGAAGACTAGAATTTACACACAAACAGTGGATAACAACCTGGGATAGAGGAAGGCTGTTTTTTTTTTTTTTTTTTTTTTTTTTTAAGAAGGCCTCCCAGGAAAAGACAGAACATTTAAATTCCCTGAAGGCTTTGTTCAGTTTCCTGCTCATCACCAATAAAGAAAACGGTATTATTCTGACTTTATTATCTCTCCCTTGTAGCATTTGCAACCCAGCCAAGGCAGCTTCAGGCTCAGACCTGAGGCCCACCAAGAGTGACTTGACTTTCATTATGAAAGATGAGAAAAAGGGGGAAGGGGGAAAATATCAAGGTTCAGCATTAATGTGGTTCAACCTAATCTCAGGTATCAAGAAAGCATGTAAGGCAGCTTCTAAAATGAGGTTTGGCAGTGCCCATGGGTGTATCTGTGGTGACTAAATACAGGAATACAAAGGTTAGCACCTTGGTAAATAACATTAATCCACAAAGACTAAGCAGTTCCAGAAGACAGTCAGTTCACAGTGCTGTGTGCTGTCCCCCTAGCTTTATGAGGCACAGTGTTTCCAGCACCATGCAAAGAGATAATTTTGGAGTTTGTCTCTGCTATAGGAGGCAGGTTTCAGTTTGCTTTGCACTTGGCATTTACCCAACCCTATCTAAAGGACAAATTACAAAAAAAGTGAAGTATTATGTAATCCTCCACTTCTGGCACTCTGGGAACTGACAATACTTCAGGACCTGCGAACTCATTCCATCCCACAGTGCAAGTTGCAATGCCAGGCTGGTCCCAGGGCATTGTTATTGCTTTAAAAACAACCAGAACAATAAAGCAACAGTAGGCTTGTGGCTGCACAGGGAAAAAACGCAGTGACTCCCTTGCAAGGGGAGCGCCCAGGCTGAATGAGAAGGAAAAAACATTTCTAAGGATTGTTTTTAGTAGAGGCAGGCAGGCAAGACTACCATGTAAATCAGTACAGGCTCTTCCCACCAAGCCCACCTCAGGGGGGAGGGCAAACACGTTTTAAAGGCACTCTGATGTTCTTTTAAGGGCTGCACTTTAAGCACACAACCATAACTGTGGCACCAGGCTCTGGGGATCATAGCAGACTTGTAAGAAAAGAAAGGCCTCCAGGGTCAGCTGGGGCAGGTGCCAAATTTCCCCGAGATGGGGACTGTCCAGGGGAGCAGAAAGACCACTGCACCCACTCAGGCTGGGAATCCCAGTGGGGCCCAGCCAATGTTCCCTTTCTTCCCCCATCCGGGTGCAGAACAAAATTTGCTTGCACCGACACATGCGGGGGTGTGCACCACCAGCAGACACACAGGCTGCCCGCGGTGGGCGCTGGGCTAATCAGCTGGGTGCATCTGAACCTCTCCTGGGTGTCCGCCCAAGCGCTCAGCTCACAGGAAAGTCCGGGCCCAGCTGCTAGGCCAGCCCCAAATGTGACCTGCAGTAAAACCTAGGTCCGGGCATTACCCAGCTGCGGCAACGCGCGCCCCTCCCCCCGCGTCGCTGG